ACTTTTTGGAGGGAGGGGAATTGTTTAATACCTTTCTTTATCTTTTGTTGCTTGTTCAATCATTAATTTCTTTAGTTCTGCTAAACGCTGTAGATCTTTCTCTTCCATATCTTGCCACTTGCGTTGTTTTTCAGCCCAGTATTTTCTCACCTGCAATTTGCATGAATGAACAAAACACTTACAAAACAAAGAAACAGGCCAGCAAGGCAAGGATCATGACAGGGAAAGCCTGACATCTTGAGTTTTATAATAATATGTAAGTTTTAGAATAGCATATTTGCCTATGTTGACAGGAAACATTCACAAGCTACTCTCAAAACATGAAGCTGCAGAAATTTCTTTTAAGATTTAGTAGGTGCAAAAGTGAGCTTTGTGGAACCCCTATTTATAAACAGAAAAATTAACTGGTGTGTTTCCTGCAGTCCTTTCTTCTTCCATCCTAAACAGCAATTCCAGGCAGCATTATTGCTCTCCTACCAGTGGGCAAGGAAACAAAGTACTCACAACCTGGGAATGGGGTGCTCTGATTGCTATCAGAAGTAACTCTAAGTTGCAGTCATCCATGGGAGAAGCAAGGAATATCAGATGAGAGCTATCACAAATAGAATTAGCAGTGTGTAATTTTTAAAAATTACTATAGCCCTTTTCATCCGATCTACCCAGCAATAGCAATTACAGAAAACAGACATCCCATGAAACAATCAGAGAAGTTAGATGGGCTTTCTTCAGCTGCTTGGAGTGTCAGACATGTCCTCATTGACACTGCTTTGGAACAGATACATTTGCAAATTTAGGTACAGAACTGGAATTTCAATGGTGCTGAAAATTAGCATGCTTTTTACTGAATGAAGACAAGTTCCGTATAAGCTTAAAAGCTTGCCTCTTTTACCAAGAGAAGTTGGTCCAATAAAAGATATTACTTTACTCCCCTCCCCCATGTCTCTTTGAACAGCATTTAGTAATTCTGGATATATTATTTTGTCCTAGTCAAAGGCTAACAGGATAATAATGTCTGATCCACAGAGGTGTTAGTAGACCATAGTCTGTTGTTGCATTAACACTTGAGACCAGTGGTTTGAAAAATCAGTATATTTTTCATTTGCAAATCCCTACAATTTTCAAATCTTAGACATAGTATGTAGACCCCTGAAACCACCGTTCTATGGTAACAATAATCTTGAAAACCACTGTTCAATAGCAACAACTACCTTCTGCGTATGCCTTTGACATATGCTGAAATTAAAATTGTAAATATGAATCAACAATTTAATGAAGGAAAACTTTAACTCGTAACATCTTTATAAAACAAAAGGATAATCAAAATAAAGAGTGCATTTAAAACATAATAAAAGTATGAAAATACAGAGTTAAGGAATCCAAAATAACTTTAGCTTTGTCCTCTCATCCACTTCACTGTGAGAACTCTCCATGTAAAATTTATATATATATGTATATCTATTTAATCTTATATTCTGAGACTTCATGAGATTCATCAGCAAAAGGGAGTTTTGCTATGGACTTCAGTGCAAGAAAGAGCTAAGTTCTGTGTTTTTAAAGAACTCCATAAAAGAAATACACGAAATAACTCCAGTCATGGATCTTAGGAGCTCCACAGAATTTCCCTAAAACTTGGTTCACAAACTTTTAGTTACTATAGAATTTTTAAAGCCCTTATAACTAAAACATTTGAAATTAATTTTATTCATTTAGAACTATATCCAGTCCCCAAATAAAAAAGGAATAAATCTCAAAATTCACCACTTCCCATGCCCAATCCCTAGTGAGGAGAGCACTTACTTAAAAAAGGAAAGTGTTTAGGTGACCATTCCTTGCAACAGAACCTCTATGAAATGGCAATAAAGGTAATAAATTACCTGTTACGGAAACATACTAGTTTCAGGCTTTTGTAGGAGACTCCAGTTTGCAATGACAGTCACAACATCATTCCCTTCAAAATGAGCTATTACATCTCAATAAGCAATCCTTTAGTTTAGAGGCTGTGGTTCAGAAAAAGTGATTTCCAGAAAATGTTGATATTTCGCTAATCCCAGTTTCCCACACAAAAGGGTTACAATTTAAACAACAAACCATAACTTTATTTAGGGCATTTTATATGCACAATACAAAACCAAGGACAACTATACAACTCTGGTTATTATAGTATTTGTATTAATTACTTGACATACTTATAATTATTATTAAATAAAATCTCTCCTTATTTCATTAATGTCCTTGAATTCCACAGACCTGCCTAAGGAAAAAAAAATCCTCATGAAATGTAATTAGGGTCAATGGTATATTTTTGAAAATATAATATTTGAACATGAAAAAAATCTGGGACTAGTTCATTGTAATATATATGACTACACTGTGCAATATACACTGTATTGAGTGTGTCAAGTAAGAATACATGGATTTAATATCATTTTACCAGTTCTTCACGGTGTGGGAACATTCAACGTATCAACGGAAGTACAATCCGACATATTTTATAACCTTGTGGATCACGGACAGTTTTGCTACCATGTGGCATGTTTACCAACAAAAACACGCCGTCAACAATGAAGGGAGCCTCCCTTCAGGATCCAGCATTGAAAGACATCTGCAACATAGGATATCAATACCATCAGATAGTGGATGTGCTCTATTTCAGTACACATTGAACCTCTAAACCAGGACTCCCTGGTTTGGCAACATTCTGGTTCTGGAACATCCATAAAGGACCATAAGAGTCCCAAAGGAGGGCTAGCAGCTGGGCTCTCCACAGCTGGGCTGCCCTGCATGCTGCAAAGGGGCTGCCCGGCAGAACCAGGAGTCAGTGCATCTCAGCTATGCTGTGCGGAGGGACCAGGAGCTGGGTTGCAGCTGGGCTGCCTGGCACAGCAGGGAAGGAAAGAGGGACAGACAGAGCAGCGAGGCCAGCAGCTGGTCCAGGGTTGGGGGGCTGGTAGCAAGGGAACCAGATATGACCTCCCCTGATCTGGCAAAATCCCTCATCTGGAACTGGTCAGGTCCCAAGAGTGTTGGACCAGGGAGGTCCAACTTGTATAAATGCTGAACAGTTTTGTTTAGCTGTATGTACTTGGTTCATAGGAGGAGTGAAGATTGCTCCATGATCCAGGTAGCTATATAGAAGTGACATTACCAATGAATTACAATTGAATCCTTTCTTCCCTCCCCCACTTCTTTTCCTGTTACACTGTGGTTTTATGCCCACCTGCCACTGTGCAACACCACCTAAGTAAAAACTGATAGGAAAAACAAACTAAAACATATTAATCAACAGTTGAAAAATTTCAAATAAAACCAAAGCAAAACTAGACTGTAACTAAAAATGTGATGCAACCTACCCAATAATTCAACCACTTCTTGTGTGATATCGGAGAAAATAAAAACAAGATGGCCAAGGGCACCAGAGAGTAGTCAGATCACCCTGAAATGTCAATTGAAATTTCTTCACATTGCATCCTAAACTAGTGGTAAACTACGAATACTAAAGAGGCATTCTGCTGGCAGGGAATCAGAAAGCAAATACAATTTTTATAATGGCTGCATATAGTATACTCATTTACCCCCACACAGGCCATTTTTACTGGCAAAGTGCTCCTAGTGTGAACACAACTGTACCAGCAAAGCTGTACAGTAAACTTCCGATAATCCGGCACCTTTAGGACCCAGGGGGTGGCAGATTATCAGATTTGCCGGACTATCAGAAGGGGGGCTATGAGGGGTCTGGGGTGGGGTGGGGGAGATGCCACCCCAGACCCCTCATAGCCCCCCCCTTCCGATAGTCCGGCTCTGCCCCAGGCATCCCTGATTCAGCCGGTGCTGCTCAGTTTCAGCAGCAGCTGAATCAGGGACGCCTGCGGCAGAGCAGTTGGGGTGCTGCCGGGTTGGTCTGGGAGCGCAGCCCCTCCGCCCTGCGGGGGCAAACCAACG